TGGGGGGAAACTTCTCGATTCCGTAGGATAAGCACACAGTAATAAACACTCCCGCGCCGCAGTCGTAAAACACCAAAGAAAAATCACCACCAAGGAATAGAATAGTAGGCCGGGGGGGGGAGTGGTTACTTTCAATATAAATATAATAATGGACTTGGTCCGCTTTATTCGACTTCAAGAATGTGATAAATATACAAGCGGGAGTGGGAGATCAAACAACTATGAGACCGGGAGCGGCCGCTCAGCGATGCGACGATCGGCCAGAGCCGAAGCATCCGCTAGAAGAGCGAGACCGCAAACTGAGAGCGAGAGCGCGAGCAGAGGAGCTTTGAAGCGCTTCGAAGCCGCGGGGGGGGGAACATAAGCTCCTGATCCGCTTGGATGCAACAAAGTGTGATGCCGACCGTGACAAGTAAGACAGTTGTGGGCGTTTGTGCAATTACGGAGTGGATGACCGCTTGCAAAGCAATTTAAGCACAACTGCTTTTTCTGGATATAAGATGATCGATCGACTATCGTCATCTGAAGGAAGCGTGGACACAAACGCACTGGATGGTTCTCTGCAGAACACAAATCGCATATCTTGGACGTATGAAGAATCCTCGTACTAAAGGATTGTAGTACTCGTTGCGATGGGTTGGAGATTGTCGGTGTAGATGAACGAAAGCGTGTCACAGTAGGCTGGATAGAATCTATGGCTTCCAGAGTTCTATAGCGCTCTGTTAGGAATGAATCAAGTTCCGGCCACGTAGGAATTTCGGTTTTTTGTTCGATGGATTGCTCCCATAATGAAAGCGTCAGCTTTGGAAGTTTTAGTGGAGCACAAATAAACAAGGAGGCAATCCCAATTCTCAGTAGAAAGGCCGGAAATTCTCAGCAATGTTAGACAATTTTGGATTGTATTTTGCAGCTCCTTCAAGGCTGCCGAGGATTCGCGTTCACTGGACTCCATGTTTAATAATTTCTTAAGTTGATTGTTTACAAACGCGCGTTTATTTTCGAAACGATCGTGAAGCGCTGACCACGCGGATTGAAACCCATCATTAGTTCGTAACGATGGCGTGAGCTTCGCCGCTAGTTTTGGCGTTTAAGTGGAAAAGCTTTTCCACTGGAGTTAAGTTGGAATTGTTCACGTACATGGCCGTAAACAGATCACGAAATGTGGGCCAGCGCAGATAATCTCCGTCGAAGATTCCTATATTGCATGGCGGAAGATCGCAGCCCCTCGAGAATGTCTCTGGTGGCGGAGCTGCTCTTGCCTGTGAATTGGAGACGGACACACGGTCAATGTCTTCGCTCAGCTTGGAAGCACACCTTTCGTACACCGCATAATAGTGTTCGTATTTATTTTGAAATCTTCCGCTACTTCCCTCGTGAAGAGCTGCTCTGGAAACGGTCTCATACTCCCGTTCAACCTTTTCCCATAAGGACTGGATCTGATCTAAACGGATCTTTAATGTGAATGAATTGGGCTTGGAAGTGGATGCCGCAAAAATCTGGCTCTCAAATTGGCTGAGACGGTTGCTAGTTGCTATAAACTCAAGCATAGCAACATCAAGAGGGCCGTTAGCTCTGGATCTCTCCCTCTTCTGACTCACGTCTTGGGGAATTGTCTCTTGTCCTTCTGACATTTTTGGATTCCTTTGAGACTCGGCAGGAGTGACCGACTAACTAGGTGAATGAAGCTGCTGGATTGAGCAGATTTCCCAAAATAAGATGGATTGCAAGAATATGCCGTAGCATTCGAATGGTAGAATTATTTGCTCCCAGTACCGTCAACTAAATCGAAGGAGTAGCAATGTGAGACGGTAAAATCGAAACAAATATGGATTGCAAGAATATGCCGTAGAATTTGGTTGGTAGATGGTAGATGGTGGTATTAATCAATCTCAGAATTGCAAGTAAATAAACTGGAAAAAATTTACTTGAAGTAGAAGCGACGAGAATTGAAAATATATGTAGTGGAACCAATATTAATTGGAGCAGATGCGACGAGAATCGAAATTTATTTGACCAAATAAATAATTGCTGAACGGAAATGCAGAGGTTTTTTATTATTTTCGCATTTAAAAATAAACCAATAAATGCAAAAACAAGAAAGGAAGCTAACTTCGGCACGCCGAAGTTCGTATACCCTTGCAGATTGGTTTTGATGTTTATATTAATGAGTGATGAATACACTCACAAAACAGAGTTTCATTACAGTTTACCTATACCTATTATGTTTACAGTTTGACAGCTTCCCAGCTTTACATATTTGATACAATTACCGATCGCTTCTATGGCAGCTATATGATATATTTGTCCGATTTTTATGAAATTTATACCAAAATTCTAGAACAATAAAAAAAGCTTATATCTCAGAGTAGATAAAATACGTTGAAAAACAAGAAAGGAAGCTAACTTCGGCACGCCGAAGTTTGTATACCCTTGCAGATTGGTTTTGATGTTTATTTTATAGATTTAAATGCTGAAAATACTCACAAAACAGAGTTTCATTACATTTTACCTATACTTATAATGTTTACAGTTTGACAGTTACAGTTTTACATTCCCAGCTTTATATATTTTATACATTTACTGATCGCTTCTATGGCAGCTATATGATATAGTTGTCCGATTTTCATGAAATTTATACCAAAATTCTAGAATAATAAAAAAAATTTATATCTCAGAGTAAATAAAAATGCGTTGAAAAAAAACGAAGCTATAATTTTATTTCTATTAATTTCCCGATCGTTCCTATGGCAGCTATATCATATAGTCGTACGATTTTCATAAAATTTTTACCAAAATTGTAGAATAATATAAAATGGCTATATCTCAAAAATGATGCAAAAATATTGAAAAACAGCCAAGTTATAATTTTTTTTCGAAAAATATATCGAACATTTGTATGGCAGCTATATGATATAGTCGTCCGATCCGGCCCGTTCCAACAGTGAGAGCATATAGAAGACTATATGCAAAGTTTCATTCAGATAGCTTTAAAACTGAGGGACTAGTTTGCGTAGAAACGGACAGACGGACAGACAGACAGACGGACAGACGCACAGACAGACAGACGGACAGACGGACATGGCTATATCGACTCGGCTGTTGATGCTGATCAAGAATATATATACTTTATAGGGTCGGAAACGTCTCCTTCACTGCGTTGCAAACTTCTGACTGAAATTATAATACCCTGCAAGGGTATAACAACGAAGCTATAATTTTTTTCCTTCCCGATCGTTCCTATGGCAGCTATATTATATAGTCGTCCGATTTTCATAAAATTTTTACCAAAATTCAAAAATAATATAGAATGGCCATATCTAAAAAATGGTGCAAAAATATTGAAAAACAGCAAAGTTATAAATTTTTTTCTAAAAATTTATCGAACATTTGTATGGCAGCTATATGATATAGTCGTCCGATCCGGCCCGTTCCGACATATATAGCAGTGAGAGTATATAGAAGACTATATGCAAAGTTTCATTCAGATAGCTTTAAAACTGAGGGACTAGTTTGCGTAGAAACGGACAGGTGGACAGACGGACAGACGGACATGGCTAGATCGACTCGGCTGTTGATGCTGATCAAGAATATATATACTTTATAGGGTCGGAAACGTCTCCTTCACTGCGTTGCAAACTTCTGACTGAAATTATAATACCCTGCAAGGGTATAAATATATATAGATGGAGTACCCTTGACAATTGCGGATATTTAATCGAGTGCAAAGCTTTAAAAGTATTTATGATTAATTGATTGATTAATTATTAATTAATAAAAATATTAATTATAAAGAAAAAATAATTGTATCGGAGTGGTGGGATTGGAACACCTGACACCTTTTGTTTGGGAACGAGACACCCTGTATTGGGTTTCGCGCTCTTTGTTTTGATCGCCGCTGCCGGCGGCCTTATCAGCGGTCGCTAAGCGAGCAGCGCATCGCTGCACATGCGCGCGAGCTTCTGCCCAGTAATTTTCCATTCATTTCTAACTCCTAATACTGGCATGACACTGCCGCATTAATTAGAGACTTCATTAAAGATTTTACAGCGCTATAGAGTTTTACACAAGTGCGAGCAAGACGACTATATGGCGCTCTAATGCATTAGAATAATGCATTAGCTACTTCATTGCCGCGGTAATCGATAGATCTACATACTATATACTAGATACTCGATAACAAAATACGGGTTTAATGAAGAAAATTGTAATTGAAAAATGTATTAGCCAGTTCATTGACAGTATGGTCTCACAATGAGAATTTTATTTTTATATCATTTCGCTTGTTTTTTGAACTGAAAATATATTAGAAAATTTGCAAAAATAATATGTTTTGCGGTAGCAAGGTTCTTGCGCTGTAAAATTAATTAAAATGATTTTTTTTGTAATAATTAAAAAAAATTTAAGCATTATAGGTTAAAAACATAAATTTAAAGGATTCTGCATTTATTTATGCAATAATACTTCGACGAGGAATTCAGAAATTCATAATAATACGCCGCGAAAGGCGGCCGTTTTTTTGTTTACCTTTTACGGTCGGTGTGACCGTAGTCGTATTACCAAAATAATCCAAGCAAAATTCAAGCAAAATTACACAAAAGTACACATATAGTTGACTCTTTCAAGGTTCTAATGAAGTAGCTAATTAATGAAAACTGCATTACTGTATCATATGGGCATAACTGTAACTTGTTTACGTCTTCGACTAGCATAATCGAATGACGTGCATAGCCAAAGCTTAGTCAGTCACATTTTTGCTCTCAATGCAATCTAACGCAGCGCGGTCGACAATATTAAATGTAATTGTTCGGAAATAAATAAATTATATTAAACAGTATACACTAGGGCGGATTCATTTATAAACATCCTAAAAAACTGGTCCTTCGAGCCGGATCCACCAATACTGTTTATTTTCGGCCAATTAATTTAATTATTGAGGTTTTTGTCAACGGTGATCTATAGATTTCAAAATCGTATAGAGTCGTTATCTTTTCGCGATCGCCATGCGGAGTGTGATTCAACAACGGGGCTTTTGTAAAAGCCAAATCACACGGGCGCATAATAATGCCCTAAAATTTGTGGATGACATTCAATCAGTGGACACAATTGTGGTGCGCCTGTCGCAAATTCAAGACAATTATTTGCGGTTTGTGCGACATTCGGAAGAGCTGTACGCCTTCCAATCGGAGTCGGATTGGGAGAATCCGGACGACGATTTTGATGCCTATGAGGAAAAACATTACGCTACACACGCCATTCTCAGCAACACTCTGGAGGAGTTACGGCGTGATCAGGCGTCTAACAATATTTTGGCCACTGTGCAACCAGCAGATGCGCCCCAGAGGAGCCATGTGGATTTCCAGTTCGAGCGAATCAAACTCCCAACCTTTGCCGGGAATTATGAGGACTGGAAACATTTTTCGGATATGTTTACGGACTCGATTGCTTCCAATTCGAGCCTGACGGATTGTCAACGATTTCATTATCTCAAATCGTATCTATCCGGAGACGCCCTCAATTTAGTCAAGCATATTCCTGTGACTAATGAGAACTATCGGGAAGCATGGGATCGGCTTGAGCAGCGATATAACAAACAATCGCTAATTATCCGATCATTCCTCAACAGTTTCATGACCCTTCCCAGTGCTACGTCTACTAATCTCAGCACAGTGCGGAAACTGGCCGATGGCGCAGACGAAGTTATTCGTGGTTTGCGAGCCCTTGACTGCGAAGAGAGGGATCCTTGGCTAATCTTCATCCTATTGTCAAAATTGGATACCGATACTTGCCAAGCTTGGGCGCAGTGCGCAGACTCCGAGGGAAAAGGTGTGACCATCAACCAATTCCTTAAATTTCTCACCTCTCGCTGCGATACTTTGGAGGCTTTTCACTTAGTGCGACCAACCCAAGCTCGACGCGCAGCCACAACGCACCACGCAGATACGCATCCTAGACGAGAATAACCCAAATGCACATCGTGCCAGCAAACTCATCAACTGTTCAAGTGTCCTCAGTTCAACGGACTCGACATCGCAGCTCGCCGGGAGTTTCTCAAGACGAAAAAGCTATGTTTCAATTGCCTCAGCCCAAGTCACATGGCGGGTAACTGTACATCGAGACATACTTGTCGGATTTGTCGCCGCAAGCATCACACCCTGGTTCACCCTGGCTCGGCGCAGCCAACTCAAAATGGTAACTACTTGGAGAGAGCCCGTACGGACAGCCGCGATCATCCATCAACTTCACAAGCGGCATCTACGATCGGCCAGAATCAACCGCCTGGTCAAGAGATTCATCAATCAGGGAGTTTACCTCCCGCGGAAAATAACTTCACGCATCATACGCTGGAGAATATTTCAGCTGCAGGTTCGCAGACTCTGTTGCCAACCATCCTTGCAGACGTCGTCGACGCCTGGGGAAATACTACAACCTGCAGGCTGCTCTTGGACACTGGGTCCACAATCACCTTGGCGTCGGAATCATTTGTTCAGCGAATAGGCGTACGTCGAACGCACGCCCGGATTTCTATACTCGGTCTCGCAGCCAACAGCGCTGGCGTTACCCGAGGACGCGCACATATCAAGCTGCGCTCTCGTCATTCAGACCAAACTGTCGAACTGGTCTCGTTTATTCTCAATTCGCTGACATCATCACTCCCGGCCCAGGCTATTGATACCTCATCTTCTACGTGGAAGCAACTCTGCGAGCTTCCTTTGGCAGATCCCACATTCTGCACGCCAGGATCCATCGATGTCATCGTTGGATCAGATCAACTTTGGTCTCTCTATACTGGAGAACAGAAATGCTTTGGTAACGACTCTCCTATCGCTCTGAATACTGTTTTTGGTTGGATTATTGCAGGCTCTTACAATGCATGCGATGATCACCTGACTTCAGCCGTTACTCATCACGCGGACCTCGACACGATGGTTCGCTCTTTCATGGAGATGGATAATATACATCCTAGCCAGGCTCTTTTGGACGCCAACGATCCAACAGAGCGTCATTTTGCTGCCACCCACACGCGCTTGGAGAACGGGGCTTACGTCGTCGAGTACCCCTTCAAAGAGCATGCGCCGCCTGTTGATTCAACTTTACCGCAGGCCATCAATCGCTTCCACTCGCTGGAACGCAAGTTTCGTCGATCTCCAGACTTGAAGCAGCAGTACGAAGCATTTCTGGACGACTACTTGCGACGTGGTCATATGGAACAGCTGACATCGGCTCAAATGGATGAGTCCCCAGAAACCTGCTTCTATCTGCCGCACCACGCTGTCATCAAACTGGACAGTTTGACTACGAAGTGTCGCGTAGTTTTCGATGGATCGGGAAAAGACAGCTCTGGAGTGTCTCTCAATGATCGACTTCAAATTGGCCCGCCCATTCAACGCGATCTTCTCGGCGTTTGTTTACGTTTCCGGCAGCACCCATATGTTTTCTGCGCGGATATCGAGAAGATGTTCCGAGGAATTCAAGTCTTCAAGCCGCACACCAATTATCAGCGCATTGTTTGGCGCAAGAACGAGAATGAACCACTGCTTCATTTTCGCCTGTTGACGGTCACCTACGGATTGGCGCCGTCACCATTTCTGGCTGTTCGAGTTCTTAAGCAACTAGCTGAGGATCACCGCCACGAGTTCCCCCGCAGCAGCCCACGCGCTTCTACACGACGCTTATGTAGATGATATCCCAACAGGGTGCAACTCATTCGACGAGCTCATGATTCTCAAAAACGAGCTGATTCAACTGTTGGATAAGGCGCAATTCAAACTACGGAAATGGAGTTCCAACAGTTGGCGTCTTCTAAAATCATTGCCAGAAGAGGACCGATGTTATGAGCCTATCCAGCTCCTCAACAAATCAGCTGCGGATTCACCAATCACAATTCTTGGCATCCAATGGAATCCCGGAAAGGACGTCATGTACCTCAATATCAAGGAGTGCGATCCGACCATTTCTCCGACGAAAAGGGAACTCTTGTCGCAGCTATCAAGAATCTATGACCCGCTTGGATTGGTAGCGCCGGTCACAGTTCTACTCAAGCTTATCTTCCAAGAAAGCTGGACAAGTGTTCTGCAATGGGATGACCCGATTCCTGAAACTCTACGCTCGCGCTGGAAGGCCTTGGTGGAGGATTTGCCAACACTTACGCAATGTCAAGTACCACGATACATTGCGTCACCATTCCAAGACGTTCAACTACACGGATTCGCCGACGCATCCGCGCAAGCCTACGGTGCGGTTGTATACGCTCGAGTAGCATATGGAGGCAGTTTTCAAATCACCCTAGTTGCTGCCAAAACCCGTGTAGCCCCGATCAAGCCTGTTTCGATCCCACGTCTGGAACTGAATGCTGCTTTACTTCTTGCTCGATTGCTCTCGATTGTCAAAGCCTCACTAACGATTCCTATTTTCAGCACGAGCTGCTGGACAGATTCAGAAATTGTGCTACACTGGCTTTCAGCTCCCCCACGAAACTGGAACACATACGTCTGCAACCGAACGGCTGAGATCCTGAACGACTTTCCTCGCAGCTGCTGGAATCATGTCCGCACAGAGGACAACCCTGCCGACTGTGCTTCTCGAGGACTTCATCCGTCCAAGCTTCTGGAGCATCGACTGTGGTGGAAGGGTCCATCATGGCTGGCCACACCGCCCTCTGAGTGGCCACCGTCTACAAGCAAGTTCAGCGTATCTCCAAATCTCGATGTCAACACCGAAGAGCGATCTGTCAAGCCCACAACTCTACATAACTTTCCTGATGAAAGTATCTACGAGTTACTCATCCACAAATTCTCAACCTGGACGCGTCTGCTAAGGGTATCTAGCTACTGTTATCGCTTTATTCACACTCTTCGATCTCGTCATAGGAATCCGGCACCATTCCTTACATCCGAAGAGTTGCAGGCCGCACGTTGCCGACTCATCCGACACGTGCAACAAACTTTCTTTGCCAGAGAATATGCGCAGCTAGAGAATCGACGCCCGTTTAATGCTAAATCGCATTTAATTCGGTTCTCCCCATTTCTGGACGATCATGGAATTATGCGAGTCGGTGGAAGAATCGACAACTCTACACTCAACTTCAACGCCAAGCATCCAATCCTAATACCAAAGGATTCACCACTAGCTGGACTCCTGGTTCGACATTTTCACGTTTCACATCTACACACTGGAGTTGATGCTACGTTCACCAATCTTCGTCAGCAGTACTGGATTCTGGGTGCACGCAATCTGGTCAGAAAGGCAGTTTTCCAATGCAAACGCTGCTTTCTTCAACGCAAAGGCACCAGTAACCAGATCATGGGAGAGCTGCCAATCCCTCGAGTTCAGGCTAGTCGCTGTTTCCAACATACAGGGCTGGATTACGCTGGACCGATCGCCATCAAGGAATCAACAGGACGAACTCCACGGATCGGAAAGGCATGGTTCTCTATCTTTGTCTGCCTAACTACAAAGGCAATCCATATCGAGGTCGTCAGTGATCTGACTGCAAAGGCCTTCATCGCAGCCGTTCAACGATTTATTGCCCGACGAACAAAGCCCACCGATCTGTACTCGGACAACGGAACCACATTTCATGGCGGAAAGCAAACTTTGGACGACATGCGACGCCTAGTCATCGAACAATCTAAAGATGAGGAACTGGCTGGATTCTTCGCCAATGAAGGCATTTCTTGGCACTTCATACCCCCATCTGCCCCTCATTTTGGCGGAATGTGGGAAGCCGGCGTTCGTTCCATAAAACTTCATATGCGACGGATACTTGGATCCAAGGCTCTCACGTTTGAGGAACTAGCGACTGTTTTGACCCAAATTGAAGCCATCCTCAACTCTCGCCCACTGTGCCCAAATGGGGATAATTCGTTGGACCCGCTGACTCCCGCTCATTTCCTGACTGGAGCTCCTTATACTGCCCTCTCTGAACCCTGCCGTCTGGATATGCAAATCAATCGACTGGAGAGGTGGAATCAGCTGCAAGCTATGGTCCAAGGTTTCTGAAAACGGTGGAATATGGAATACCTGACATCGCTTCACGAACGCACAAAATGGCATCTAGAAACTGAGAATCTGAAGATCGACACACTGGTGGTACTCAAGGAGCCTAACCTACCTCCCTCTAAATGGATTCTTGGACGCATCAGCGAGGTGCACGCAGGATCAGATGACAAAGTACGGGTCGTAACAGTAAAGACGGCCCATGGATCCTACAAACGCCCAATTACCAAAATTGCTGTCTTGCCTCTGTGCTGAACGACCGTTCAGGGGGGCCGGTATGTTTGGGAACGAGACACCCTGTATTGGGTTTCGCGCTCTTTGTTTTGATCGCCGCTGCCGGCGGCCTTATCAGCGGTCGCTAAGCGAGCAGCGCATCGCTGCACATGCGCGCGAGCTTCATTTCTAACTCCTAACTGTAACTTGTTTACGTCTTCGACTAGCATAATCGAATGACGTGCATAGCCAAAGCTTAGTCAGTCACATTTTTGCTCTCAATGCAATCTAACGCAGTGCGGTCGACAATATTAAATGTAATTGTTCGGAAATAAATAAATTATATTAAACAGTATACACTAGGGCGGATTCATTTATAAACACCTTTTTTCTCAACTCAATATTCGTTGGGATGCGCTGCCGGCAATGTAAAAGCTCTTGAGTATGTATGTATGTATGTATGTAGATGTCGCGGCGGCAGCGGAACTATGTAAGGCCACTAACCATACAACATATAGACTGGTCATTTCATACAACAAAAATGGACACAAAAATTTCTTAGCGTACGGTCCCATGTTAACTGTTTGCTGTTAGCGACAGACCGTCTGTTAGATTTTAGCTGTTAGCGACCCGTCCCATGTTAGCTGTCAGCTGTTAGCGTCAGGCCTTTACATGTATGCGTGTTCATGCATTCACGTACACGGGTGTATGTGTGCGACCATTTCGTTTCGGGCTAGCAAGAATATTTGGTCTTTTGCTACTTTTCGCGCTAGGTACCCTAACAATATGGGCATATTCGCTATTGGGTTAATGATACAAATAAGAATGTTATATGTTATAATATATTTCTTAATGTTTCAGCATTCATTTCATATATGTTTACAATTCAAATCAGTGGCAGCAGTGAAATGTGTTGCATATATGTGCATATGTATTCGAATGAATAAAAATCCATCTACTGAGATAGGAACAGGGCATATTGCAGTCGGTGCTCGCGATCAGGGAACCGTGAAGATTTACAAAAACAACGACGCAGGTAGAAAGCACATCGCTGCAATCTCGAGTTTGCGACCCAAGCGACCGAACTCGCACATCGTACCAAAAACAAGAACAATTTTAAAGGGAACTGCGAGGCTGGCGTTGACTTCTGCACTAAAGAAAAAAGTTTGGATTTCTTTTGTAGTCGTTTTTCTTAGGTGGACTTAAGTTCACGCAAAAATGGCTGAAGTTATTGAAAGCTCCAATGAGATATTTCTTTTCAAAAATTAATAATTTGGATCTGATGCAGTGCAATCGATTTTGACGAATTAATAAACAAATATAAATTTTTGACCAATTAATAAACAAATATAATTAATTCTACTCAAAAAGTTTTTGTCAGTGTATTTCCTAGGCTCGCACATTCTGTGTGGCGCGTGGATACCCTGTTCCTATCTCAGTAGATGGATTTTTATTCATTCGAATACATATGCACATATATGCAACACATTTCACTGCTGCTACTGAATTGAATTGTAAACAAATATGAAATGAATGTTGAAACATTAAGAAATATATTATAACATATAACATTCTTATTTGTATCATTAACCCAATAGCGAATATGCCCATATTGTTAGGGTACCTAGCGCGAAAAGTAGCAAAAGAAACGAAATGGTCGCACACATGCACCCGTGTACGTGAATGCATGAACACGCATACATGTAAAGGCCTGACGCTAACAGCTGACAGCTAACATGGGACGGGTCGCTAACAGCTAAAATCTAACAGACGGTCTGTCGCTAACAGCAAACAGTTAACATGGGACCGTACGCTAAGAAATTTTTGTGTCCATTTTCGTTGTATGAAATGACCAGTTTATATGTTGTATGGTTAGTGGTAAGGCGCACCAATAAAATGCACAAAAAAATACGGACACTGGTTTACAAATTTGTTGCAATATTCTTTATTTATTATTTTTTTTCATTTTCTTGTTTTATATATATATTTTTTTTTTTAATGTATGTAATGGTTTTTGTATAGGGGAGAAAATATAATATCCCTTCAGTTCCATTCCTCCCGGATTCCCCAAGGATTCCTCTGCGGAATCCCGCGGGACCGCCCATACAACGCGGGGAGGAACTTTCATACATAGGGTACTCCCGGCGAGGATCTCGAAAATCCCCCAGGAATCCGCACCAATCCCCCGGGACAGTCCCCGGGAATTTCAAACTCGAATCCTCCAGGAATCGTCGAGGAGTCCCGAGAAAATCATTGCGAAATTCCGCAGGATTCGCTAGCGGAATCCGCCAGGAATCCCAGATGACAACCTATAGAAAATTCCTGAAAAATCCCCCCTTCCTAGTAAAAATCCGATGTCATTTATTCCTTATTTATTTATGGATTGCATTTTTTTTATTTATTTTCACTTTTTTGGTAGCATTACATTTTTCTGCAAAATTGAACATGTACATATATGTATGTATGTACATACATAAGTGCGTGTCACGAGTCTCCTTTGCCGGCTGCTGGGTCCTTTAAGAAACTTGTTTTATCTGTAAATTAAATACATGGGTACATACATATTTTTTAATCAAATTGTAAATTGCAGTACATACCAACTTAAACTGGACAAAAAAATCTTCGTAAATCCGTACTGAATCCCATTCACACCGTCTAGGTTGAAGTCGCATCCATTTTAATCGTCAATTCTGCAATTAAAATTAATAATTCAATCCAAATAAGTTCCACTTATCTTATAATATGTCATATTTACGCAACTAATACACAAAACACTTCTGAATGCAACAGCAGTCAACTCAAAATGCAAAGAGAATTAGAAGACAAAACCGAAGACCGAAAATTCTCGCGCGTGTCAGGGTATAGCCGACAAGGCAATGCCTTGCAATTAGATTCACTAGGGGCCAATAACCAAACATGAACATTTCGGCCATGTCTAAAGAACATTTTCTTATGTGCTTATATCCCACACGATTTTATACGCAAAAATTAATTAAATATAATCTTAAATATTTTTAAATAATCCTACTTATTTTAAAAAGGTCATTCTCACGTCGGTGCAATACTCTTTGTTTTTGACACCAATTTTCTTTCCTCCCTTCCTTCCATCTCTCTCTAATTTACGAATTCTCGCAACCGCTACTCCGAAGTTCGGAGTCCGAACGTAGATCGAAAACAATAACAAATATGAAGATCGAACTTCGTGAAGCCCTCGGCAGTAGCCGAGCGTAGGTAGCATTTGTTTCGGCTATTTTGTTTCGAACTTCGCTGAACGAGGCCCATGTAATTTGTTTTTGTTTTTTCGAGCATACCGCGAGGAATCGGACGGGCAAGGAATTCTGGAACTGAAGGGTTGCTATAGATTATGGCATCGTCTACATAAATTGAAAATTTAATTTGTTTATATCTTAGAATAATGTTATTTAAGGACTGGAAGGCGATCATGAACAATACCACAGAGAGGGGCGATCCTTTTGTGATGCCATTGTGGAGAGTATAGAATTTAGATATAGTGTTGTTTACTCTTACTCGGATTGAACTGTTGATCATGAAAGCCTTCGCTAAGTTGAAGGTCTTTTGACCTACCCCCCACCGGGAAAGTTGATCCAATACTGTGTGCACCCCTATGCGATCAAAAGCCCTTTCAAAATCAGTTGCCAGTATGGTAACATGATTTTTGGTAGAAAGGGCATCCGATGCATAATGGTGGAGATGCAGGAGAGAATCAAGAGTGCTATGCTGTTGCTTAAAAGCTGTTTGGTGGGTGCTGATGAGTCTATGTTTTGTGATGAACCACATAAGTCTTTTAGCTAACATTTTTTCTAGGGTCTTGCTTAGACAGGGGAGTAGGGAAATAGGTCTAAATGATGTTATTTCATTGGTTGGTTTATTTGGTTTTAAGATTGGGATGATAATAGCGGATTTCTACACATGGGGGTAGGATCCTTTAGCGAGCATTGCGTTATATAGTTCTAGTAGGCGGTACTTAGCTTCGGAAGGGAGCTGTTTGAGCATTGGGTATGAAATTCGGTCTATACCGGGTGTTTTTCCTTTTGCATACTGAAGGGCATATTCGAGCCCACTAAGGGTAAAGTTAGAGTCCGGATCTTTAGAAGCAGTGGAGAGTTTCGTTTTTTCGTATTCCTGAGACAGGACCAAAAGTTCCCAAAAGCGTCGCCCATGTCTGCAGAGTTATGTAACTCTATATATACTTTATTGTCCTGAGACTATTTGATGAGTTCCCAATTAGGCGATTTAAATCTGACCAGGTCTTCTTAGTAGATGCTTGAGGAGAAATATTTGATGTGGATCCTTCAAAAGATTGTCGTTTTGCTATTTTGGATTGGTATCTAAATAGAGCATTGGATTTTTTGTAGGATATCAGAGCGGCAGTGCTCCGAGTTTGTTTGTAGGCATGCCAAAGGGATTGCTTTTGCTGCCTCAGATCTTGAAGCGTTTTGTTCCACCAAGAAACATTTCGCAGATGTAGGAAAGGTTTGGTTTGCGGGATTGCAACATTAGCAGAGGCTTTAATTCCTTTTATTATTTTGGCTGCAAACAGGTTTAAATCATTGGTAGCAAAAAAGTTAAAGGTAACTTTGCATTTGTCGCGGTACAGGTTCCAATTGGCTTTATCTACTTTAAATTTAGGAGGAGATGGTATGCGTTTAGAAATTGTACTAAAATGAATGTCTTTGATTATGGGATAGTGATCACTTCCATAAAGAGAGTCTTTTACGGACCACTTACAGAAAGGGAACAGCGATGCGGAGACTAATGTAAGATCAATGGCCGTGAAGGAGTTGTGAGTGGAATAATGGGTAGTGGAGCCATCGTTGAGGATAGTTAAGATTGATTTGTTTATGACATCTTCTATTTGGTGTCCTCTAGAGTTATGCGAGGGAGACCCCCACATTGACTCCAAGCACTAAAATCTCCAACATATAGGATTGGTTTGCTAGTGAGGTCTATAATTTTAAGAATTTCGTTTGCTACTAATGATTGAGAGGGAGGTATATATGTATTAAAAATACAGACATTGG